ACCCCGGCCCCCATCCCGGTCCCAGCCTGTCCTCCTCGGAGCCCCCACCCCGTCTCCGCCCACCGCAGGATGGGCGACAACACCAGCCCCATCAGCGTGATTCTGGTGAGCTCGGGCAGCAGGGGCAATAAACTGCTGTTCAGGTATCCCTTCCAGAGAAGCCAGGAGCACCCGGCGTCCCAGACAAGTAAGTGAGCGCCGGCAGAGGGACTGGCGCTCCCGGGCGTGCGCCCGGCGGCAGGATCGGAGCAGCGCACGGAGGCGGCTCCCTTCCCTCCCCGCCTCGCACGTTGAAACTGAAGTCGTTGACCTTTTCTTTTCCTGATCATGTAGTCAGTGCCTACTCATTAGAGTATTTGAAAAGTACAGAAGAGTAAAAGCAGAGAAAACTCACTCAGTTCAACATGCCAAAGGCATCATTGCTAACGTTCGTCAGTACCTCCAGCCTTTTAAGAATATGTAGAAGTACTGTATGAATGTATTCAGCTTGGAACAAACACGAAATGACATGTCATCTGAAGTTTCCCCAGTTCTGCTCCTTCCCTATCGCAGGGATAACCACCTGCCATTTTGGCGGTTGTCCCTCCTGTACAGATATGTATGCAGAGAAAAACAGTGCCTTGTCTTGGGGATTTTCCCCCCGCATGATACATTGTTCTGCAGTTGGTCTTTTTTCCATTAAACGATCTTCCTTGGAGCACTTTTCCAGTTTAAAAAGAGATCACCCTCACTCATAGAGGTGCACATAAGAACATAATAGACATTTAGGTTACTTGCAGTTTTTCACTATCATGAATGTGCAGTTCCTGACTTATATTTTAACTTTACTTTTAAATTTGTTAACATGGTACACGGTTTTAAAAGTACAAAGGGGTATAGATGATGAAAAGAAAGTTCTTTCCCACCATCCATCCCTAGCCACTCATTTCCCCTTATAGGGGCAGCTGCTATTACCATTTTCCTGTGTATTTTTCCAGAACCTTCTGTGTGAATATAAGCATATACACACATTTTCTTTTCTTTGTTTTATTTATTTATTTTTTGTAGTAATCTCTAAACCCAATGTTGGGCTGGAACTCAGGACGCCGAGATCGAGAGTCCCATGTTCTTCAGAGTGAGCCAGCCAGGCGCACCCACACATTTTATTTTATTTTATTTTTTTATTTTTTAAAGTTTATATTATTTTTGAGAGAGAGGGACAGAGAGGGAGAGTGAGAATCCCAAGCAGGCTCTGCACTGTCAGCGTGGAGCCTGGTGTGGGGCTTGATCTCATGAACCATGAGATCACGACCTGAGCCGAAAGCAAGCGATGGGTGCTTAACTGACTCAGCCACCCGGGTGCTCCTACATGTTGTATTTTCTAAGCAGAAGTGAACACACTGTGCACACTTTTCTGCCATGTTGTTTTCATGTTCACTTTACATCTTGGATTTAGGTTCAGCATGATCAGAATCATGGGATGAACACATTGTGATTTATTCATTTAGGCCTCTGTTGATACAAACAGTGTGAATGTCTTTTCTGTCTACATTATCATTTTTCAGAATATAGGGTCAATCCCCCCCGGGGGGTGGTTGGATCTAGGGAAAAATGAACATATTGATCTTCAGTAGATCAGATTTTTCTGTCTTTGTTAGTGAGATGGGTGAAGTGTCTGATCGTGATTTACATGTGCGTTTGTCTTAATGACAGAGAGCATGTTTTCCTCTTTTCACAGCCATTTGGATTTCCTTTTTAGTGAATGACTTACTCATAACCTTTGCCTAATTTCATCTTGGGTTTATTTTTTCCTTATAGATTTGAAGGAGCTCTTTAAATATTTAGGATAAAATAGGCCTTTTTCTGCGACAGAGCCACACATTCGTAGCCAGTTTGCTTCTGTGTGGTTCTTGCTGCATAGAATTTTGACTTTTATGGAGTCAGGTTTTCAGTCTGTTCTTTTGGAGTTTCTGAGTTTTGTTAAATGTAGAAAGGAGTTCTGTTCCTCAAGGTTAATGGAAAGAAACAAGACCTGTCTCGTGTTTTCCTATCTCATATTACTATATACGTATTTTTTAATGTGTTTCTCTTGGTGTAAGTTGGACGCTCCTGGTAGGAGTTGGTGTCTTCTGCACACTTGCCGAGAGTGAGTTGTGTGTGCACCTCCCGGAGCCTTCTGAAGCAGGTGCTATGATGGGTGAGGAAGGATGTGGGAACATGGGTCTGCAGAGTGGTTGCTTCAAGAGCCAGCATAATTGTCTCTTCTCTCAGTGACTGGTTCTGCTGCCTTTCTCGCATACTGAGTTCCCTGTCTATTTTTGACCTTTCATCTTTCCCAGCGATGTGGGTTCCACACTGATGAATTACTGTAACTTTACACTGTGTTATATTTTCAGATAGGATTAGTCGCTTATCGTTACTTCTCTTTTTCAGCACTATCCTGGCTGTTCTTGCTTACTGTTCCCGGTGAACATGAGTACTGAATATACTGGGCCCTTCTCCCAGACTGTTGGTGGTGTTGTGGGAATCATGTCACATGTATGGGTTAACTGCAAAAAAATGACATCTTTGTGTTGAGTCCCCCTACTCAAGAGCATAGCATGTTTGCTTTCATTCTTGTCTCCCTTGCTAGCATTTCTGATTTCCTCATGGACCACTTGCCCGTAATGAACTTAAAAAAAATTTTTTTAGAGGGAGGGGAGGGTAGGTGATGGGCATTGAAGAGGGCATCTTTTGGGATGAGCACTGGGTGTTGTATGGAAACTAATTTGACAATTTCATATATTAAAAAAAATAATAAAAAAAATAAATGCAAAAAAAAAACCCTAAAGATCCACATTCAAATAATAAAAAAA